AGTATAACCCATTTAAAACCATAACGAAGAAGGCTAAAAATCCACTTGTGGACATTACCTGTGCAAAGATTCATGCTGCTAAAATGAACTGGAGCAAAGTTACAGAGGTTTTAGTAAAGAAATAGTTTTAAATTTTGTCCTTCTGCATGGGCAGATCATGTTGGTACCATTAGTAAATTTTAAGAAACCTGAAGTTTTTAATAGCAAAAGTATTTTTTTTCTTATCTGCCTAAAAAGACTTGTTATTGAATGTTTGTTGTTTTGAAAAGTTATCCAAACATTTATTTGCCACCATATAGGCCTATATTATATGAAATAATGAGAAATTATTTGACTGTTGGACCATATTCCCTCAAAACCAAGTTTTAAAAAGAACTTTCAACACACTTTATAACCTAGCGCCCCCTGGCGGCCTCCACCTTGGGAACTCCTGACAATGACCATCGAGCCTGCTATGTACGTGTACAACCACTAGAGGGTAGTAGTGTACCAAATTTCTTCAGAGCCAAATTGACACGTCCACACACAGCTTGCAGAGCAGAATTATACGTGTGGTGAACCATGATTTATGGCTCGTTGGTCTAGGGGTATGATTCTCGCTTAGGGTGCGAGAGGTCCCGGGTTCAAATCCCGGACGAGCCCATCCTTTTTAGGATGCTTGAAGGGTTTTAGAGGAGCGCATGACAAAAAAGTCAAATCCTTAAACAGAAGTAGGTCCTCTTCCCTCCAAAGCGAGACACAAAAACAGAAAGGATAAAAGGGATTCTGGATTAGAGTCAGGAAATTCACTTGAGCTTCAGACTCTGTTCTCTGGATAGACTGGAAATAACAAGTAGGCTGCTGACTTGGAATCTTCTGGAGATAGACAACTTAACTCATGGAGTTGAGAAGTCGTCTGAAGTCATGTATTTAAGACTGAGGAGTCTTTCTACCATGAAAACACCTAAATGTTGTTAATTTTATTACATTTTAAAGTGCATGACAAATCACTTCTGAGAATACAGTATGTAAGAGACTCATTACTTGCACAGACCCTCTGATGGGCTCGTCCGGGAGTCGAACCCGTAACCTCTCACACCCGAAGCGAGAATCATATCACTGGACCAACGAGCCTGCTATACAGTCAATCAACCACCAGAGGGCAGCGGTGTACCACATACCTCCATGCACATGACTCACCAAGCTCAGGATGACACGTCTACAGATTGTAGCATGAAATTCCAGAGGTGGACCAGTTTGACTGTGGCTCGTTGGTCTAGGGGTATGATTCTCGCTTTGGGTGCGAGAGGTCCCGGGTTCAAATCCCGGACGAGCCCATCTTTTAGGATGCTTGAAGGGTTTTAGAGGAGCGCATGACAAAATAAGTCAAATCCATAAACAGAAGTAGGTCCTCTTCCCAAAGTGAGACACAAAAACAGAAAGGATAAAAGGGATTCTGGATTAGAGTCTGGACATTCTCTTGTATGGAAGCGATTGTGTTCCATAATCCTAATTAAAATGGATTAATAGAAATGCTGTTTCATTTTCAACAYGTACCTGATTTTTTTGACTCATAAGTAAAATTATAAATACATAATCCAAACTGTATG